CCCACACCCACACCCCACACCCACCCACACCCACCCACCCACACCCTTTGGGTAAAGCTGTGGGTGTAGTTTCTTTCTATACCCACTCCCACTCCCACACCCACACCCACACCCTCGTTGATTAATATTTTCAATCGCTGCTCTTGCACTATTAATATCACGATTGAAATCTTTATCGTCTTGTGTTAATTCACGTCCACGAGGTTTCTTTCTTGGCGTGACTATATATTCTTCCTCGATGTATCCCTTGTCACCGATAATTTGTACAGATTCTTCAACATCTTCTAATAGACCTGATTCTCGAAGAACTGTAATATCATGTGTACTTCCATGGCAACATTCAGACACATGCACTATTCGGTGACGAAAATCACAAGCAATTTGAACTTTAATTGCATAATTTGTTGGACTTTTCGCATGATAATATTCTTTACGCTTTTCTGAATCATGCGGTTCAGGAATTGCAATAAAGGTTGAGTCAACAATTAATTTATGATATTGTTCAGGTCCATGTGGTGTTCTTCTATTAGTTAGATCAGCAGGTATAGAAATAAAGGCTGGATATACACACGAATGCAAAATATCCACTACTGCTGATAAGAGATAATTCATCCCTTTTTGACTAAAATTCAATTCTGAAGCAATATAGCGTTCAGAATGATAATGTTTTAAATACCATAATGTAACCACAAGCAAATTCATTGGAGACAAATAGGATGTGCTGATATTATCCCACTGTAACTTGTTTCTATGGGAACAATAATTTACTAATGGTCCTTCACACATAGAATATAATTCATGTACTTGTTCAACGTCATGTCCGGTATGCTGTATGCAAGATGCGTCAGTACGTTTCCATTCTGACCATGGACGTTGATCTAGAATATATAAAAAACTTCCTCATAAGAATTCATTTTGACTACTACTGTAGGAATAGATAATGAGCTAACAGATGCATGCATAGATGGAAAAAATTGATGTCACTTACTATCATCCGAAACTTGGAAATGTTGCTGAATATTAACTTCCTTCTCTTCCAATTTTTGTCGTCTTTCTTCTTCAAATTCTGGTGTACAATAATTACAGTTATCACGATGACGATAATAGTGCGTGTACAAACCAGATTTTCCCGAGCCAGTACAAGTCCAAGTTAACATGGAATTACAATCAGGGCAATATTTTCGACGATCAGTTGGAACAGATTCACATTCAGCACAATGCCATTCAATTTGTGGAGAAAACATAATTCAAGTGTACTATGTATTTATTATCGATAGAAAGCGTGTTAAAGAAAACGAAGAATAAAAGAAAGTAAAAAAAATAGATAGAACAGGAATAACTTGAGTTGAATATAACATTAGAACAGAATAGATAAAATATTATGCCGAGCACAAGATGTAAACAAATACCACATGAAGCACGTTTAGTGCAATAAACACAGAGATGCACTTAATAATTCTCCTTTCTAGTGATATATAAATTTCAAATAGTGACAGATGAATAGCATTATATATGTAGTATAAATGGTAAAAAAATCAGCTTTTTCTAATGCGTAGATGAAAAAATTAATACTGGGGTACCACTCAAACTGCTCACCCCCATATATATATATATATATACTTGTCTTTAATTTTTCTAGAATTGATTTACACCTGTGTATTTTGGTATGGGTGTGCCTATGGCTGTGATTTCTTCTTCTTCAATCACCAACACTCCATCTTATGAGATTTTTTTATTTGAACTATTGAATATCTAATGAAGTTCATGACATTTAAGAGGGTCCAAGTTCATGATTATTTTACTCATGAGGAAAGTTCTAATAACAAAAAAATTGATTTTTGAATTTTGACTTGATGTCTTGCTGTAGAGACAGATTTTAGCGAGAGTCATTTATCATCAGAATTTCAAGAACGAACATCAGATCTACCAATTTGTACGAATGATTTAAAAGCCAAACTATTACTATACCTACATCTTTTAAGAGAAAACTAGCAACAAATTTTGAAACATTAGCAAAAAACCTATTTCGGAAAACGAAACTCACAGTATGCACATTACATAATGCTATTAGTCACGAATGAAAATCGATTCATCAGTTCGAAGATTTCAAAAATATTTAAAGCACAGAAATTTTATCTTGAGGTACATTTCATGGTCATATATGATTTATGGATCAAAATTCATTGAGGTATCGCATAATCTTATCACTACTCTACTTATGAATCAATTTACAAACACAAACGCGGTTTGATATATTTTCATTGATTAATAACACAATCAAGAAACTTTTTTGGGAATGGCACAAAAGTCGAAATCAATATTTTGCTTATTAAATAAATGGAAGAAATATTAATTTACCGCTAATAGAATATTATAAATCAATGAGTATAAATTAATCGTTGATTTGTCTTTTTTTTATCGATAATATGTACATTAAGAGAAAAAAAGAAATGTAAAAATGACCATGTATTTCATTTAAAGTGTTGTATGTCAAATTAGAATCCAAACAAACAGACACTAGTTGGGTGTGCGGGTGTGGGTGGGTGGGTGTGGGTATGGGTATGAGTCATCCTTGCACCCACACCCACACCCACACCCAAGGGGGAAACAGCGGAGACTTCACGACTGAAGTCTCATGAAGTCTTGAAAGTCTTTCGAAGTCTTCTGAAGTCTCTTGAAGTCTTCTGAAGTCTCTTGAAGTCTTATGAATTCTCATAAAGTCTCTTGAAGTCTCTAAAGTCTCATAAAGTCTGATGAAGTCTCTTGAAGTCTCTTGAAGTCTTCTGGAAGCTTTGAAATACATTTCGTGCATGAAAATTCACAAGAAACCAATGAAATTGTCTTGTTTTCGACGGTCTTATTTTAGTAGAAAGATGAAATTTTTCTTGTTTTTTTTAATGCACTGGAAAAAATTCAAGTTTGTTTGATCTTAGAAAACATGATAATTAATAAGTGAATGCTTTTTGAATGAAGTGGTTTATTTTTATAAGAAATTTTCCATCTATCCAAATCAATCTGATGAAGATTTTCAATCCTTTTTGTTTGTTTCCATCACTCGTGATAATCTATCAGCCGATAAACGGCTAACTTTGTCGGTCAATAACCAACAAGCCGTTTGCTTGTGTATAAATTTAGTCTTGTTATTTATTTGCACTTGAAAATAGGAGTTTTTCATTGCTGGATTAATCGAATTGAATATACGCATACCAGTAAAATTTATTTTCTCAGTTTTAATTTCACCAAAGTTTTGTGTCATTGCCGCATCTTTATCTTCTTCATCCACATTGATTAGATCACTATCAAATTCATTACTTTCCATTGCTTCATCGTCATAATCAGATTCAGAAACTGATGAAGAACCTGAATTCGTTGCTAAATAATTATCCGAATTAATGTTGAATCTAATACTATCAGATATATTTTTACTTAAGGCCCCCCCCCCCCCCCCAAAAAATGTCAATTTTCGTGAGAACTGTCAAAATTGAGATAAATACATAGGAAAATAGCCCGTCGTCTGCTCTTTCAAAATCAATAAAAATTTTTCCTAAAACCTCCATTTTTTCCCGAAATATTCCAGAATTTCAGAGAACCAGTTTTTGAAAAACCAGCGGTTTTTTGAAATATCCAGAAATGTTTTTCGTTTTTTCTCGATTTATGATTTTTGGATTTTGGTACAAGGATTTCTCAGTCCGGGTCCGTCCAACATATTTAAATTTTTTTTTTGTTTGAAAGAGCGCGTCGAGATGCAGGTCACTACAGAGTCCTTTTTTTAATTAAGCTTTGTTTTTTATTATATATAAAGACACTTATGTGACTGGACACCCATTTTTGGGGCGTTTTTTGAGTCATTGGACTTGTGATCTCCTTTCTCCGCTAAAAAAGTAAGAATCTCAAAAAAAGGACTCTGTAGTGCTCTGCATCCTGATATGCTCTTTCTAACAAAAAAAAATTTAAATATGTTAGACGGGTCCGGGCTGAGAAATCCTTGTACCAAAATGACCTATTTTTGACTCTTGTTTGGTGAATATCTCAGTCAAACATTAGAGTATCGAGCTGAAAATTTTATCACAGCCTCCTCACATCAGCCCCAACATATGCTCCAAATTTCAGCCCATTTGAACGTACCTGGGCTGAGATCGATTTTTGAGGGGGGGCCTTAAACCATTAAGTTCACAAGCATTGCATTCATTTAATGAAGGTAATATATTCAAATTACTAACTAGTTCTTTTGCACGGTTAAATGCGGCTAAAATAATATTTTCAACGTTGATTTTATCAATATCATTCTGTTCCTAGTGCTCGGAAGACGCTAGTTACTCCGTTATAAATGAGAGTGTCAGTTTATATTTACTTTTCATTTAATTTACGCGTAAAGTAAATGATAAGTAATTTGTATTTATTATAAAGTAGATGGTAAATGACACTCTTACTTAATGATAAGCGTTTTTGCATGTTATAGAGGTTTCATTTAATTTCTATAAGTTTTTTTGATACGCATGGAATCTGCCTCTTGAAGTCTTGTGAAGTCTTTTGAAATCTTACGAAGTCTTGTGAAGTCCGATGAAGTTTTGTGAAGTTTTTAGAAGTCTTGTGAAGTTTTATGAAGTCTAATGAAGTCTTATGAATTCTCATAAAGTCTTTTGAAGTCTCATGAAGTCCGTGAAGTCTCAAGAAGTCTGTGAAGTCTTATGAAGTCTTTTGAAATCCAATGAAGTCTTCAGAAGTCTTTAGAAGTCTTCCGAAGTCTTTTGAAGTCTTTTGAAGTCTTGTAAAGTCCTATGAAGTCCTACGAAGTCTTTTGAAGTCTTTTGAAGTCTTGTGAAAATGTGAAGTCACTGCGGCTGAAGTCCGTTGAAGTCTTTTGAAGTCTTACAGTCCGCTGTTTCCCCCTTGCCCACACCCATACCCACACCCACATCCACACCCGCATTCACACCCACATCCACACCCACACCCACACACCCACACCTGCCCACACCCACATTCACACTCACACCCACACACCCACCCACACACCCCACAGCCACCCACACACCCCACAGCCACCCACACCCACACTCCACACCCACACCCACACCCACACACACCCACACCTCACACCCACCCACACCCACACCCTTGCAGAAAATAAATAAACCTGTACTTTGATTCTACACGTACATAGCCAAAAATGTAGTTCTTTCTTACCGATTTTTTGCCTGCGAAAGTCGTTTAAAACAGTAAAACCCCGCGAATATTTCACTTGATACGTCGCTCGGTCGTCTAGGGAGCTCCGCCCCGAACCTCCGCTAATAGAGGGCAAAACTCCCTCTATATCCCCACATAGACGCGGACAAACATAGACGTGGACACAAATAGACGACAGCACTCTAGCTCATAACATTTCTAGAAAATACTCTTATTTTATTGTGTTTCAAATCTTTACCAGCACAAGTTTTTTAAAAACCACTACGAGTGTTATCCTCACACAAACAAACAGTTAGTATTTCACCTCTTTTGCTCACATCGAAGCAAACGTAACGACCCGCTCAGCTCAGCGAACATCACATCACAAAGCAACATTACTCATAAAACTTCTCTTCACCT